GCCCCTATCTGAAACAGAATGTGCACTTGCATGTAGAAAATATATTGGAATGCAGAAAATATTGTTATACTTTAATCTGAACACAAAAATTTCCCTGAAACAATTAACATACATTGGGCCATACAGTCATGCACATAGTTTTGACTGTCAAATGTATAAAGCAGCATAGTGAGTTGCATTCATGGCCAAAGACATATTAGGTTAATTATTTTACATAATTATTTTTCGTATATAAAACGGTGTTCAATATTCATACTACATGATAGGCGTATGGCCAAACAAACACCTTGTGCTTTTTTGCTCAAATTTACGCACGCATGATTTTGTGTACATAATATAGATTTAAATCTAGCAATTCAAATCCAAAACTCATGGGGTCATGCATGACATCTATCTATAATGTATATTTTCTTGAAATGTTAGGTGATTCATTGTTATTGCCGTTGTTGTAACCCAGTAAACAGACACACACCGCCGTTTAGACATGTCACATGTCGTTCTTGTTCCTTTTATATACATACGATAGACGATAAAGCTTCGAATTACTTCTCTTTAATTTCCAGTCCGGCTTTGTCCAGTCTTTTGAACAAGCGCGTGTTGAAACAGGTCATCTGTACAAGAACGCATGGTGTTTCGAATCACAGCGGCCACTTCGAGCACATTTCGACTCTATCATGTTTACATCATACATGAAAATTGATACATGTAATACGAGACCGAAATATGGTTGTATTTTGACGAATATTAACGATATAACGAAATATAAACCCCCAATATGTATAATTCCATTAGGTGGTCTGTATATATTCCCTTGATGGTGGAAAATACATCGAAACAAAAGAAAAATCCAATATTTTCTGCTCACCAACACGTCTCCACTCCTCAGTAAGAATTAGTGCATAGTCAGCATTTTAGCTTTCAGCAGAGCGCGTTTACTTCCGGAAAACACTAACCTGAGTATCAGGCCCTCGGTATTGAAAGAGGGCCTGACACAATCTCGTTCCCAGAGTATGCCTGTTCGCGGGTTAGGTTGTGGCATGACTCTGGGGAAATCGAATCGAAATCGTTATTTGATTGGCTGCCGTGATCATCAATGCTGCCGACACAATTAATGCGTGTTTTTTGCGAGAATTACGCGTGGACATACGCGAAGAGAGAATTATCAATGTTTATCAGATTTGGAATGCGAAATCAAACGATATAAATCGAAGGATATGATATTAATCGTATGAAAAAGTATTGGGACGTTGGGTATATACTTACAATATGGTATGGTATTTATGAATGACTTTTTATCGATCTACAGTACGAGTATATTCATTATAACCATGAAAGAATTGGCTAAATGAAATCATCGCACACGTTGTCGTTTTGTTAAATTGACATATTGTTGCCAGGACTTTGGAGTGACAGCTTTTGCTTGTGTTAAAAACTTGAAGCTTTAAACAATACAGTACATTATGGTCAATGGTCAACACTCAACATGTTGTAGCCCGTGGTCTTTGTGCTTTTGTAAATGGAGTTATCTATTAAAATTTAAGATGCCAGGTGTTTTTGTAGCATCTGTATAAATTATAGAATAATTGATTTAAGAAGTTTCTCAGGTTGTAAAACATTTGTTTATAGATTTGCTTTGTAAGTGATTGCCACTTGACAGCATGATGGGCTATTCCATTTAATATCCGTACACCCCCTGTCGAGGATACATGTTTTTCATGGTTATACCCCTGAAGAATTTCAAACTCAAAACCTTTTACCCCTGAAGAATTCCAAAATTCCAAGCTCAAAACCCTTTACCCCTGAAGAATTCCAAGCTCAAAACCTTTTACCCTTGTTCAAAGAATTCCAAAATTCCAAGCTCAAAACCTGTTATCCCTGAAGAATTCCAAGCTGAAAACCCTTTACCCCTGAAGAATTCCAAGCTCAAAACCCTTTACCCCCGAAGAATTCCAAACTCGAAACACTTTACCCCTGAAGAATTCCAAGCTCAAAACACTTTACCCCTGAAGAATTCCAAGCTCAAAACCCTTTATCCCTGAAGAATTCCAGGGATCCTCAACAGGGGGGGTGTATGGATATTAAATGGAATAGCCCGATGTAAGGCTATAACTAAGCCAAACCTGAAACAATTTTTACATCAATTTGTGTCTGGATAAAAAATAAGTAGTGAATTTAAATACAGATGTTTCCTTGTCTGTTGCTATCTATTATACTATGTGAAATATTGGCAATTAATCCAATTATATATAGATTGTAGATACTGACAGTAGAATTGAAATAGCTACCAGTTTTCAATCAAATAACTACTTTAATTTCTGTATCAACTATCAAGCCTCCTGTGTATTGTTTCCTAAGCATCATTGAGGGGGCACTTGTTCTAAATCTATGCAATAAGTCTGGTTACCATTAAAAAATGTCCATATTCAGAGTTACCGTTGTACTATATTTTATTAAAATACTACAGAAATGCAATATATTTCATGATTTTAAGATATTGAATGAGGGCTGCATGGTAAAAAGAGGAGGGGGCTTATTTATTTTTGATTTTTGTATCCAAATGAGGGGGGGGGGGCTTTTTGCTTTCTGTATCCAAATGAGGGGAGGGGGGTGATTGGAAAGGGGCTTGAAGAGAAGGGGGCTAAATATAGAAATTACAGTACCTCCATTCCTTCCTCTCCCTTCCCAAACATGCTGCAGAGAGGGGCAACTGCAGGGGTTAAAGCCTGGATTGCAAGGTTGATGTATAAATTGCATGTTATGTACCTGGTAATATGGAAAAATGAGCTAGTAAATGTATCCTTGCCTACAACTAGTTGCCGATTAAATGTTCAAAGATACACAGTGTTAAGCATGAAGAACAAATGGAAGATATACCCACAGCCAACAAATTTTCAACAAATAGATATGGATTTGTTCACTTCATTTCTTACTTTCGACACAAGTAATTATGGTAATTATAATTACAAACACAATGTACTGTCATTTAAAGACTTAATATGTGATCCATGTATATATGTTAATGTAATATAATATAAAAAATAATGTGTTTATTGTTAAAATATGGGATATATAATACCGTAAACCTCTGACTATAAGCCCTGGGCTTATATTCTTTTGTAAGTGATTTTTGATGGGCTTAGGGGGGGGAGGGGGAGGGCTTATATGCACAGGGGCCTTATACATGGACGATCAATTGTGTTAGTAATAAACAAGTCAGTCATAAACAGGAAAATAAACATGTGTTAATAACACATTAATAACATAGTAAGCTATAAAGACAATGACAGTGTTTCAAATATCATTCTCTGCTATATTAAAAGACAATGTCAATGTTAAATAACATAGTGGGATACTGGGCTTATATTCAGGGGGCTTATATTCAGGGGGGCTTATATTTGAAATGAGGTGAGCATTATATTCAGAGGTTTACAGTATACAGTTCAAAAAAGCTTGTATTTTCTTGTCACAGACACACATTTCTGGGTGCATATAGAACAGCTTATACGTCAGGTTCTCATGTCGATCCAATGGTAATTTGATATCGCTGCCATCACCATAATATAGTGTAGCACACTGTAGCACAGAATGGCCTTGTATCATACTTTGACATCATGCATGCAGAAATGCCTTGATCATTGACATTCATGTGGCGATATTACTATCACGATAGAATTAGTTACGCCAAGTAACACGTCGTACACGTCAGGTAGCAGCTGAAATATTTTAATATTTGCCATAATAAGCCCATAACCTGTTGGCAAAACAACCAAAACATCTTCACCATTTTACATTATGGCCGAGATACATTTGAATGTCTCGTCTTTTAACGAATATTCAAGCCCTCTTTTCGCTAGAACAACTTTCGGTATTTGCCATTGAATATAATTTAATAGTAGTACGATTTAAAGCACCTTTAAACGTATAAAAACCCATTTTGTATACTATATTCTGATGAGAATCTTTGTTTAAAACAATATCGATTGTGAGCGTGTGCCCGCGCGAATTTAGTAAGCGGAATAAACGAAAGCAATAAAAGCGCATGCGCCATTTATCTCATTTTGGATAAAAAAATTCGATTTCCCCAGAGTCATGCCACAACCTAACCCGCGAACAGGCATACTCTGGGAACGAGATTGGGCCTGACACGAAACGCCTCAAAAGCCATGTTCAACATCCAGAATCTGGATGTTATGCTGATTGGCTAAGAGACGATAAAACGCATCATGTGATTGAAACCGGAAATATATGACCGGCGTATGTAAACACCAAAAATAGAATTTGTAATTTTGTCAATATACTGTTAAAAGTGCTTTATTTCTGAAATTTATTTTCAATTAATTAAGCCTAAAAATAACAAAATAAGTACGAAAAGACGTTGAAAACGCTTTTGCAGCAACATTTTACTCGGTATAAAACTAAAACTACATAGTCATAGTAGAAAGCGTGTCTAAATATCTCGCCGTAATAGTCGCCGTGAACGAAAATATGTGGATGTCGGAAATTTTCAAATATTTAGTTCCAAAAAGCTGAAGCCTTATTTATCAGTTTATTGCCGAGCTGTTTTCCAAGACCTGCAAGGATATAGTAGTCAGCTCGCTCGAACTAATATACCAACATCAGGCAGAATTTGAAGACAATAGCCGCTGTGTCAGACGCAGTTGAAGCGAATAGCTGTCTCGAACAAACTATTAACATGACACGAGGACCGAGGAAGAAGAAATCCTATTCAGAGCGCCGAATGTTGTCTCTTTAGACTCCTGGAAAAAGCCATCGAGCTATGGTTCCCCGAATAAGGCATAGTTTACGCTTAGAATTCCATCATGTGGATATTTCGACAAAAACATACCGATTTTTCTCCGTATTTATTCAAATTTATATAAAACTGCAAATAACGAAATTTGCGTATTTACATACATGTAGCGGACAACCGGAAATATGCTACAACCGGAAATAATTTTAATTGGCTGATATTCTGGGGGTGGAAAGCCCGTAGAGGCGAATTGTGTCAGGCTCTATTCAATACCGAGAGCCTGATACTCAGGTTAGGAAAACACCAGAATTTGTGGTGTTCCGGTTTGGCTTGTCCCAGGGCTTACGGCAACGCAGGCAGCCGAGAAGCCCTGGGAACGAGGATGCTTCCGTCCCTCCAAACGTCCCTCCAAACAACAACTAGACCCAGTCCTCTGCTCGATTGGGAAATGGCTAATTGTGCAAATTTTGTAAAAATCCCAAGTGACTAAGTAAGTTCCCACAATATCCTGAGATTCCCTAAAAAAGCCCGATATTCCCACTTTCACGGACTGGAAGACTAATTGGAGGGGAGGGGGGCTAATTGGAGGGATAAAAAGGCTGGGGGCTAAATAGAGGAAATACGGTAATCTCATGCCAAGGGCTTCTGCACGGAAATTTAGGACAAAATGTTCAACGAACTGTCGAACTGATCATTGAAAATACGAGACCTTTTTAAGCTGACAGCAATAAAGATTTATTTTAGAGTGAGCACCTGGTAAAAACTATCCTTCAGCAAGTCCTTAGTAACCAGTCCTAATTTTTTTACATCCGGTGTCCTAGAAAAGTTTAATCCAGCGCTAGTAAAATGCAGGAGAAATAAGGTATTTGTTATTTATATTCGTCATTTACTATATATATTTTACGTGATTATATCACAATGTTAAAAAATTCTAAGCTCTATGATCTACCTCAAATTAAAACGACAAAGTTTCCCATACTAAATTGCGTTTGATTGGTCTATTGGGAAACTGCAGAAAGTCATCGAATACATCTAACTATTAAAATTATAGAATTACGTGCTAAGTGTTTTCTAACATGCAATTTTTCAAAAATTAATTCATTAATTCATCAATTCATTCATTATTTATAATTTACATGTGTTTACCGAGACCGAGGGAAATAGCGTGGTTTTGAGACCTAAAAACTGACGAGCAGTCAAAGGGGTCACAAAATGCTATTTTACCGAGGTTTCAGTAAATATAGATATTTGTTTTATTTCAAGTGTCAAATGACAAGGAATATAGCCGAAGCTATGCGCGCATTTATAATTCCGCAAATGGTGTATATATACAAAAAATACACATCTCTCTTACTAGTCTCTTCACAGACTGTACCTTAATTCGTCAATTCCAATCAATTTTATGTGACACATCTTTAAAAATTCTTTTTCTAAACTGTCGCTGTTAAAAAATCAACAGATAACCAGAAATTAGATGCATGCACTAGTCAAGAGCAATAGAAAGTTTTTCAACAGTGATCCTTACACGAAAATTTAGAACAAAGAAATTTAGAACCTTGCTAACCGTGTATGTATATTACTTACGGCCTTGACCAACACACCTCATAATCATTAATAATTCATAAAAGAAATTAAAGATTTTTTTTTAAATATATATTTGTTATATAGTTAGTGTCAAAGTTCAATTTTTCTGTTTGCCGATTGGTCAAGACCATGTCACGTGCCGGTCCACAAAACGTCATGTTCGCAACCGGTCCGCAATGAAAGATTTATTGACCGGTCAATACTAAAATGGGTGCAATATACGCATGTCAATTTTAAAACCTCCTTTATTTATACTGACCTTCGTTGCAGTTCAATTCCTTGTTGTTTCCAGTATGGCGTTGCTAATATTGGTTCCATACAAACAATTGTCACCTATACTGGGTTTTACAAAGTCTAGGTGTGCGCCTTTCAGTAACATTCGCCAAAGAAGCGACGTCTTCGTCCACTCGTAGTGATCAGCTTCCAGTTTTTCCAAGTTACTGTGACTGATTAATGTGTCACAAAATTTTGAACCAGACATCTTCGCCCCACCTAGCTTTACAAACAGCATGACACACTTGATGAAACGGCAATCCTTGAGAGATGAATTTGTGAAATCGGAATGGCTAAAATCTGAGCCAGTAAGGTCTGACTTTTGAAGGTCGGAAACTTTCCTTGGTGAATGTGGTCGATAGACGGGTCGTACAAGATGATCCTCAAGAAGACGTGACTTAAGGCGGATTTTCAGTCCTCGCACGAAGCTCCTCGCAGCTCGCTGCGAGTGATGCATGAGCACTTTCATCCAATCACAATGCTAAACCATTAATTTTAATTAGATGCAAACACTCGCAGCGAGCTGCGAGGAGCTTCGTGCGAGGACTGGAAAACCGCCTTTACTCTTCAAAAAATTGGCCAACGAGGCCTTTCCTTTAGAAGGTGATTGAAACCATCGTCATCTTGGAACGACATTAGCATATTTTTTTCTACACAATACATTATATAATATGTGACTTCACGCAAAAAATTTACTGTGTCTGTTTTAAGTACATTTTCAAAATCTATTTGGATTAAAACGCAATTGGGATAGCTACAGGTACTAACTGATTGATGAGAAAAAGATCTGCTAAACGCTAATGACAAACATAATCTAGGATTGCTTACTCGTATAGGTGAAGTTGTAATATCCTCTTCTATATTATTTCTTTGATCCTAGCCCGAATGACAACCCCATCACTAGCCCTGCGACTAAAAAAGCTTCACACGACTAACAACCGCAAACATTCTGACGCTGGAATTAATGTACAAAGATTCTATATTTTATTGAATACACATTGCTTCTACAATTCGCCATAATAAAAAAGATGTCGGCATGTCGATCTACCTACAATCCTTTGCGTGCAGCAAGCATAAATCCGCAAAAAAGAGTGACAAGAAAAACAGACAATGACATGAAACTTTAACAAATAGGAATAACTGACGTCTTGTCTTTTGTGTGTTATTTAAAAAAACGTTTAACTGTTGTTTTAAATCATTTCCGACTGCAATGCATTGTGGGTAGATCGACAGCCGCCATCTTTTTTATTACGGCGGATTATCTCCCTATTTATCCCGCACATACGTGCAAACCTTTGATAACATTCCTTAAAAACCTGTGAACGGTAGCTGCACACCGTTTTCCCTCTATTTAGCCTCTAGGGGCTTATTTTCCTAGTGGTTCTGGACTGTGAGGGGGGAGGGAAGAAATAAAGTGCTAAATAACGTTCTTTTAAAAATATTAATTAAGCTCAGACAGAATGCTCAATAGAGTTTAAAGATATTTTCACATAATTTACCACACACTACACCCTTCTGGAAAGTATGTCATCTCGTCTGTAGAGCCTCGTTTTCGTGTATGTGACAGTTAAATCTCAACGTCTCAATCACGAAAACGAGGCTCTGTTTCCAAAATGGCGTATTTTCTGGAAGGGTGAACCAGGTGTATTTGCCGTATCAGTGAACCGTATATACGCAGTATTATCAGTGACTGTTATATAGAACGTTGGAATAGAGGATGGGGGGCTTATTTTTTCAGCACTTTTGGACTGGGGGTTAATTGGAGAGGAAGGGGGATAATTGGAGGGATAAAAAGGTCGGGGGCTAAATAGAGGAAATACGGTAACCTCATGCCCAGGGCTTCTGCAAGGAAATTTAGGACAAAACGTTTGACGAAGTGATAATCGAAAATACGAGACCTATTTAGGCTGAACGCCAATAACATTTATTTTAGAGTGGACGCTAGCTAAAAAAATCCTTCAGCAGGTTCTTTGGAACCAGTCCCAATATTTTTACATCCGGCGCCCCAGAAAAGTTTAATCCAGCGCTAATAAGATGCGGAGGAAAAAGGGTCTTTTTTATTTATATTCATCCTTCACTACTATTTATAATATATCTTACGTGATTATATCAAATTATTAAAAAAATCTAAGATCTATGATCTACGTCAAATTCAAAACTAAAATTATTACATTAGGGACTGGTCATAATTTAGCAGGAGGGGTGGGGAGGTGGAAATAGCGGGGTCACATATTTTTTAGCAAGGAAAAAGGGGGGTTCATAAAATATTAAACAGTTTATGAAGGCGGGGAGGGGGTCTGCTGTTTTAGTTCAATTAATTGTTTTATACATGCCTTCTCACATTTTGTTCGAGTTGCATTGAAAAAAATTGATGCGGCTTTAAACTTAGAATGCAAAATTTGAAAAAACTAAAGTTTTATATATGACTATGTATTGATATAATATAAATTTTAGTATTTGATTTAAAGCGCAACTAGAAAATTAGAAAATTTAAAGTGCAATTAGAAAATGTTTTGAATGCAGGGTTTAGCAGTAGGTATGTACATTTTTACTGACACGAGTAAGAGAGGGGGAAGGGGGCATTATTTTTCCGGGTTATGGCAAAGCAGGGTCACAAAATATCATTCCTTGAAATTTTGAATTACATCTCCCCACCCCCCTGATCAATTATGACCAGTCCCTTACGTGCTAAATTTTTTCTAACATGCAATTTTTCAAAAATTAAATCATTATTTAATTCATATCAATTCATTCATTACTTATAATTTATATGTACTTACTGAGGCTGAGCGAAATAGCGTGGTTTTGTGACCGAGAGACCGATGATCGGTCAAGGGGGTAACAAAACGCTATTTTACCGAAGTTTCAGTACATAGATGTTTGTTTTATTTCAAGTGTCAAATGACAACATCGAGTTACATATAGCTTTAAATCTTAAAATTACGATCAAAACAAATCTTCACTTTCGGTTTTGTTATTTTCCCCACGGAAAAATAAATGAAATGGTTTCTCCGTAAAATTTTGGCGTAATATTTTCAGTTGACACGGGAAATGTGTTTCCCATTAGCATTGGAAAAATTCTGATTCATCGCCGTTTTTACATCGCCACGCGTGGGCTTTCGGTTCATTTAGAGGCTTGCAGGAAAAACGAACATTGACACTTGGTATAGACCATTTGCAGAATTACTGGAGCATGGCATTATACACACATAGCCTCGAAAACAGACAAAATTTCGCAAGACTGAATAACACCCAAAAGAAATCAAAGAATATAGTCGAGGCCACAGATTAGGCAGACACCTTACAGAAGGCCGACTCAGCCAAAAAAAGCGTATACACCTCTACACCATCAAAATGCACTCGCCATGTTCCTAGCCAGTGCGGTAACGAGAGGCGTTCACCTCCCTGAACGTCCGCCATTTTGAATATTTTCAGGGGAGTGAATGCCTAGTCATAAGCGCACTGCATGGCTAGGAACATGACGACAGCATTTTGCGCAACGGTTACGCTAAAATCATAGGCCAAACTAAGAAGTAGACCTTCTGTAAGGTCACTATTCTGTGTCGAGGCTATGCGTGTAATGCTACGTTCCAGTAATTCCACAAATGGTCCATATATACAAAAAATATACATAATACACATCTTTCTTACTTGTCTCTAAACACACTGTACCTTAACCAGAAACTAATCCTGGATTCTTTTCCAATCAATTTTATGTGATGGCATCTTTACCAGTTGTTCTTCTAAACTGTCGCTGTTAAAAATCAACAGATAACCAGAAATTAGATGCATGCATTAGTCAAAAGAAAAAGACAGAATAGTGAGAATGCTATTGTTTATCAGTGATAACAGTAGTTTTGTCTCTATATTTTCCACAAGTTTTCATCTTAAGATAGTATTATACTATTTCGAGTCAGTACTGAAAAATTCTCCACATCAGTAAAGACACATGTAACAACAGTGATTCTTACACAATAACTTGAGGTTTAGAGGTTTGCTAATCGTATATATATATATATATATATATATATATGTATATATATATATATATATATATATATATATATATATATATATATATATATATATATATATATATATATATATATATATATATATATATATTGAAGTCCTCACAGTGTGCTGAAAGAAACTTTTCGGAATAGAATTTCGGTTCTCATTTCTGGATTAAAAATATTACGTCAATGTTTAAAACCTCTTTTTATTTATACTTACTTTCGCTGCAGTTCAATTTCCCCATTTGTCCAGACATAGCGTTGAAACTATTTGTCTCATCGAAAAAATTCCCACTTGTCGTGCCCTCTCTATGGTCCAGGTATGCGCCATCCACATTCGATATATCTAGACGAGAGGCCTTTGCCCGAGGTTGTTCTGCAAACAATATGACACCCTTGGTGAAATCGCGTTCCCCTCGAGGAGAGAATTACGCCTGATATTTGAATGAGAATGGCTGAAATCTGACCCAGCATAGGTAAGGTCTGACGTTTGGAGATCAGGAACTCCACTGGCAATTTTGTCGATATACGGGGTGTGCAAGATCATGCTCAGGAAGGGGTAACTTTTTCTTTAAAATATTGACTAATGAGGTATTTTTGCGATTACCAATGAAAGAATTCAAAATCTTTGGACATTGTACTAATACGTGCATTCAATGGTAAGTGGAAAGTTTAGTAATGATAAAGGAGAATGAGATATCATTTTAAAACCTTAAATTCGGGCCGGAACAGATTTCAAGTCCTCGCAATTTGCTGAAACAAACTGTTCGGACTGGAATTCGGGTTTTAGTTCTTGGTTTCAAAATATTACGTCAATTGCAATGTTTGGAACATCTTTTTGTTTATACTTACTTTCGCTCCAGTTCGATTTCCTTCTCTTTCCAGTGATGGCGTGGGAAATATCGGTCCCATCAAAACAATTCCCACCGATACTGGGCTCTACAGAGTTCAGGTATGCACCATTAAGATTCGAGTGAAGGAGCGACGTCTTCGTCCACTCGCAGTGATCAGCATAGACTTTTTCCAAGTTACTGTGACTGATAAAGGTGTCAACAAATTTTGAATCGGATAACGTTGCCCCGGCTAGATCTGTAAACAGCATGACACACTTGGTGAAATCGCAGTTCTTGAGAGTTGAATTTGTGAAATCGGAATGACTGAAATCTGATCCAGTAAGGTCTGAAGTTTGGAGGTCAGGAACTTTCCCTGGTGAATGTGGTCGATAGACGGGATGTACAAGATAGTGCTCAGGAAGGCCCAACTTACTCTTCAAAAAATTGGCCAGTGATGGATTTTCTTCTTGAAGTTGGTTGAAAGATTCCAAAACCTTTGGACATTGACTTAAAACGTGTATTGGACGGTAGGTTGAAATTTCATCTCGCGACTCAGTGTATTGAGAATCAATATCAGACTCACCAAAGTATTGGCCACTGGTCAAATTTTCATAGTTAAAAACACATTCTCCACAAAACTTGCAAGGATCTTCATTATGGGTTTCATCCATGGTAGGGGTTGCGTCCGTGTGCAGGGTTTCATCCGTGGGCGGGGTTTCATCCATGGCAGATGTTTCATCTTCGTCGTTTTGAATAACATATGTCTTTGCTTCAAGAAACTGGCCGCGATAACCATACTTCCATGGTTTACAAGCTTTCTTTGGTTGAATAAAATGCGCAATTTCCGCGCTATCCTTTCCAAAAATCATTCGTCGCAAGCCAGGTTTTCGAAACACATTTGGAGCAGACCACTCAATATCCTTCGTTCTTGTAAGTATTTTTTTCTTTTTTATGTTGCCATCTTGTAATACTTTCTTAAGTAAAGTGTTTCTGTCGAATGTATCGCCTTTTTTTAGATCTAACATCAAATCGACTGCACACTCCGCTAAAATTTCAACTTGCTTATCACTTTGCAGTTCAAATAACTGGGACTCGAAAATACGAGATAATTCTTTGGCAACGTCCTTTACGATACAATTCAAATAAGATGAAATGCTGTTTGTTCTCTCAAGAACTTTCTCGAATACTTTAGCGTTAGCTTGTTTAAAGTGTTTATCGACACATTTAACAGCAAGAGTACCACCAGCAACCAACGCTGCAGCGAACGATGCTGCCCCTAAAGTTGGAACACTCATTGCAGCTGTTATGCCACAAGTAAGGCTAGCAATAACAGTAGTCGTTGGTCCAGCAACGTCCACGATCTTTGTGGCTTTGCCTCCTTTAGGATCCTCTGCAAATTCTTTATTAATCTCCAGTTTCTTCTGGGCTGCGGTTTCAACTGTCTTTTCGAATAATTCACAACGGCGCATCATGGTCTACATGTAAAACACACTTTCTGTGAACCGGGGAGCTATTACACCTCGTAATATTTTTTAATGAAAAGATCCTGAACATTTAATTACCTCGCTTATTTGATTGTTATTCATTTGAACGTCTTCTGTACCAGATGAAACATCGCGTTCTGTATTAACAAAAAAACAGTATAAATATGATGGGCATGCAATTGGTTAGACAAGGTGCATGATACGAGACCAGAGTGCATTCACCAATAACACGCACATGCCTCATATTTTTCGGAGTGTGTATAATTATGTATATAGGCCGCATGTTAAACCTAATATGCGGAGGAGGAACAGGGGCGTGGCGAACGACTCAGGATTGGGGGCGGGGCGTCATAGAATAATTACCAACTTTTTCAATGAAAATGTCCAACTTTCTCTTTCCTACGTCGTGCAGTTTCTCTGTATTGGGGGTAATACGAGAGAGTTCATGCAAATCTACATAGCTATGTAATCTGCACGATATTAATCATATGTAATCAGCCAACGATGAATGTTTAACTATCATTATTAATAAAAATACACTCAGTATATTTATTTGAACTATAATTCTTCAAGACTTCTACGATATACAATATGGGCCAATGATCGTGGCTGCTTGTTAAATGTGCAGTCCACAGCATTTGCAGTCTCATGGTTTCGAGTATCTCTGCGCAGGGGCGCACATCCCAAAATATTTTTAGGGTGGGGTGTAAAATATTTTGGGACCGACTTTTTACGTGTTTACATTTGGAAGGGACGCGTATATCTGGGGGGAATCGTATTGACCTTCGAAATGGCATTTCTTTAGTGTTCCGAACCATTTCCGATCAATATTTATGTCCACGATTACGTTTATATATCTCTGTGATATTTGAGAGGTGATTGTATAAAAAGTGCAAAGTTCGAAAAAAGGTTGCAAAATTGAAGTCCCTAGATCGTCGGAAATGCTATTTTCAGAATCTCACTTACACCTCTTTCGTTTGGTCCTTTTCAAACTGAATAGGCCTTTCCAAGGTTTCTACCGCCATATTGCAGGGGGTGCAAAAACATTGGGGCGAGCGCGCGGCCACCAATGGCGCCCATACTATTTCCTATTGAGTGAGTGAAAATTACCTTTTGACATTTTGTCCTTTTTCTCAAAAAATTTCTATACAAGCATATCCAATTTTTATTTTCAGATAATCGCTGGGTTTTTTTCTGATATGTGGCCGAGATTTCTTTCTAATCGAGGGACAGGAAGTAATAAAAAACGGCGGCTTTTGTTGTACAACTTGACCGACGTTTGGGCGATGATTCTTGTTATTTCGTTTGTTTAACCGATCTTTGGAAGAATATTTGTCCATTAAGTGTGTAAGTCTTTTGGTGTCCGTCATTATTACTGTTTATATTTGTATATTTGTACAAAAATCATCGCTCAAACGTGATGATGATGATGGTAAACTTTATTTAACCACGCTAACATTGTCAGCAGAAGCTGGTTTCCACAATGGGCGTGTAAAAAACATTAACAAATTGTTACAAGTAAAATAATAAGGAAGTATTAACATGCAGAATATAAAATTATTAAAATATATACAAAAAGTTTGCTATTTACAATGATGTGGTTTTCTTTATAAGCTATAGGTAGCGATTTTTCTTTTAAAACTTGAGAGCGAATTACTCTCTCTTATATTTTTTGGAAGAGAGTTCCATATGGAAGCTCCATCATACATGAAACTCTTTTTCATATTGTTTGTGTTTGGCTTGGGCAAACGTATGGTACTTGAGCTGTTACGAAGACTGCGGTTTAATATTTCTTTTTTGAAAGTAAATAATTCTTTGAGACAATTTGGCCCCATGTTATTTAGCGTTTTAAACATTATTTTTTCCTTTGCTTTCACTCTTTGTTCCTTGAGTGGTTCCCATCCTAATATATTTAGCACAGTTTGTTGATCTACCTCATTAGGCACACATGCTATTACACGAGCAGCTCTGTTATGAAGTTTTTGGAGACGCGTGGATTGCGTTTCACCAAATATATTCCAAACTTCACAACAGTAGCTAAAGTATGGTTGAATTATAGCATTGTATACGGAAACGAGTGTTTTTTGATCAACATATTCTTTAATGCTTTTAAGAGCGTATATTCCAGATGATATCTTTTTACATATATTATCTGTATTGCTCTTCCAACACAAATTTTCATCAACAGTCACACCTAGTGTTTACATTGAAAAACCTGCTTTATGGGTATGTTTTGAATGTGAATTTTAAGTTGCTGAACAGAAGCTTTCTTCAGCATCTGTTTAGTACCAATAATTTGAAATTCAGTTTTCGCCACATTCAAGCTCAGTTTGTTTGCCATGAGCCATTTACGAAGCATTTCTAAATCTGAGTTTACTGCATCTTCAAGATCACTTAAGCATTCTCCAGCTGCTGTGATATTTGTATCATCAGCAAACAGCCGTGGTTTTGTTTTACTCAGACATGCAGGTAGATCATTAATATAGAGTA